CAAGGAATGCAAGTATCTCAAAATGTTCTTAGAGAGCTGTGACTAAGACAGCAATATATTGATTACACATACTGAAGACTTAAACTAGACACTAGGGAATCTTAACTTGAAAGAATAACTAAGCACTTGGAGAGTTCGGAATGCAGTAGGAGAAAATCTGCTAAGCAGTTGTCTAGCTATATTTAACCCTACTTCAAGTGCAAAAGAATAATCCTGATGCTCCTCTCAGCTCTATACTTCTGTGTAGTCTAAAGATTAACATATTTGACATTACTACGTGAGTGACTAACGCAGACTTAAACAATACTTTAAAAAATTCTACTCCTTAACAGTCACCTTAAAGATACTCTGTGTAAGTAACTTAGATGTAGACTCCCGGTTTAAGTAAAAGCCCTTGCCTAAAAAACCTGTACAGCTGCTAGGTGTGTTGACAAAACTATTGGAAGGCCACTCACAAACCCAAAGACCCAATTAACAGGTTGTCTTCTCACACTCCCAGTCCATATACCCAAGGTTCTTCTCTACTGAAGAGAGAATACAGCAGACAGTACTGCGTACTGCTATCATTGCTCTCACAAACTGGGCCCTAGAATCCGAGGGAGTCGGGGATGGAAATAAGGATGGCTGACCTTTATATCTTTACATTGCAAGCTATGTTAAAGTTTCATCTTCCTATTGCTCTCCTAAACACGAAGATCAGAAAATAAGATTCTCAGAATAACTCAAAACTCAGGGCTTTGCAAAGGATTTAAGAGAGCAGGCAACTCTACCAAACTCCATTTCTGTACTGAAAATGCTGCACAATTACCTTGTAAGTTAAAATCTACTTGCCCCACAGGAAGATGTTTCCTCATCCTAAAACTCAAAGCATTAATTGTTAGAGCAAAAACTGTAACATAATGACATAACCTTTATAAATCTGTAACTTGCTAAAATAAACTTGGCAAATACACTGTCAGAGGTCAGATTCAAGGATTAAATCCTGTATCTAGTCGTCCAAAGCTAAGAATTCCTACAGTTGTTACTAATCAGTAAAAAAAATAAATATTTTAGGGCCTATTTTTGCCTTATTAACAATTAAACACATAACATTCAATAATATTAGATGATAGGCCTGAAACAGCAGCAAATTGCTTTTTACAAAGTGCAAAATTCAACTGTGAAACCAATTGCTCCAGGCCTTTCTGAATATCAAGCCTACTTAATGTCAAAAACCACCAGATGAATAGAGAGGCGAGTATGCTTACTGATGGTTATTTAGCACCATGGCTCTGAAATAAAGCCTAGCTCAGCTACTTTCTGAATCATGCATGCTCTAGAATGCGATTCTAAGGAAGAGGGTACTTTCTACACGCTGTCGTAGATTCCTCCCTAAACTAAAGGCTCTGGGTCCTGAAAATGCTGTACTTCTGCTTTGGCAATATGCTGCTAAAGCTTTAAGTATGCTTTACACAAATTGAGCCCGGCGACCTGGACCACGTTCTTTAACTTCTGCAGTCTATGCCCTGTACTTCTTTTTTTTTGCTGTCAAATATTCACCTTGAATTCTAAGCCCAGTCATCTGAAAGGTACCTCTCAAATCTGTCTAGTGTACTTTTTCTGGCTCTGAAACAGGTTTAAAATACATTTTTATTAATCCTTTTAGTCTGTTAGAGAGAGTATCTGGCACAGCAATACATTTTGTGCCAAAGCCCTATTTAAAACCATGGATTTTGACTGAGCTTATAAAGCACGCTTCTATTCATCTCCAAAGAACTAAGGAAAAGACTTGGACTTTTCTAGAAGTTCAGGGTCTCATTTACAGCTGATACTATTAAAAAAATAAAAAACCCAAAGGTTTAAATACTCTGCATTTCTTGTCTACTGCTCAGGTATTTCATTTCATGGAAATAAAAATCTACAGATAGAAGTCAAATAAAATAATTTGAATAGCAGTTTCTAGGAATGTGAGAATATGTGCTCTGTGCCCTTCAACAGTATACGCCCTTTAGCAGTAAACGTGGTATTTCACTATTTTGTAGTAAAATGCAGTCATCTTTGCGTCACCAAGCATACCTGTGACTTGAACCTACTGCTCTTAATAAGTACAAAAAGATTAAGAGATGCATTTATTTCGAATATCAATTTTTGATGAACTACGGGAGTATAGACAAGAAGGTGCAGCAAACAAGCTCCACAGCCCCATCTGATGGCTAATTAAGCTCTCAAGAAAGCCATCCACCAGCCTCTAATCAACAGTGCTGAAGTGGAACTATTTCATTTTTTTGTTACAATTCCCAATTTTACCATCGCAAATCTATGATATCTGTGCATCAGTAGCAACTTTTACTACCTAAGCACATAATAACCGAGTTTCTAATATGCTGTGTGATTTTTAATTTAAGTTAGAACAACAGAGCAGTCCGTGTGCATAGTGCTGCTTTTTTTGAGCAAGGTTGAGATTGACTTGCTTGCATTTTCATTCATAGATAAATGGTCTGTAGTGAAATTGCAGAGTTTGAGGCATCCCTTGATGTTTAAGACCACGCTAAAACCACTTGCTTGCAAAGCCAAGTGCTTGAATGTAATTTTGTTTAAAGTATTTACTGTAGTTTGTAAGTGGCAAATGTTTCAAGCTCCCACTGACTTGTAGGAACTAAGATAGCCAGATCTTGAGCATATGAAATAGATTAAATATAACCTGATTGTGTCAAAAACAGATCCTAGAATCTGAGTGATTTAAAACAAAGCATCTAATTATACTATGAATAGAATAACTCCTTTGTATGAATGCAGGTCTTGTGAATAATTACGGTAGAACAGAGTACTGCCATATAGCAAGCAGAACAAGATAACAGTGCAACCATGACAAGTTCAAGGGCTCTTCTAGTGGTTTTAATCTACAAAATCCCACTGCGGTGAACTTATTTGTACCACAATAGAAAGCAGCTGCTGCAAGCCTTAAATTTGCTTAAGGTGAGTTGTGACGGGGTTTCCAATGCTGAAAATGGTGAGAGAAGAGAATGGAGGAGAGATGGGAGCTAACACACTTTTCCTATGTAAGCATTGGTCCATTTAATGGAATCAAAACAAATCTTACAGACAGGGGAGGTTGTTGAAAGGAAAAGCATAGAAGGCAACTCAAAACTAACACACAACACAAACACAAAATTTAATCAGTGTTGACAAATACCGCTGCTGACCACCTTTGTTAAACTACCAGTAGATACTTCCATGTACTGCCAATGAGAGAGGGGAAGAAAAAAAGAAGCATGTTGATGAAAACATGCGCTCCTGTAGGAAGGACACTATCTCAAAGTAAACTGTAGCTGTATTAACAAGTGCAAATTACATAGCACTCCAGGTTTAAAAAAAAAAAAAGTTTAAAGTAGGCTGGAACTTGAGACCTCCCTCTTTGTTGCCCTAAGTTAGGCTGCATACTTGCTCAATCAAGATCTCGTCCCCTACCCCAAATGAAGATAACTGCTACTAGTATCATCAAACTGAGGATAAGCAAGTAAGATGTCATTCAAACTCTAATGGCAGTTAAACTCTGTCAAGGTCCCACTGAAATTTGGGTATCCTATACTGAAATTTGGGTATCCAACTAAAGTTTCAGATTAACTGCTGTCTTTTAAAAGCTATTTAAAAGACAGGGACCTAATAACTAATCTTAGCAATGCATGATCATCTGACTCCATTATGCTCTTTTCAGTCCAAAAAAAATATTTGCCTTCCAAAGGACAAAATTCTGTTCCTGCTTAGGCCACAAGCATAAGCAATCTATGGGACCTCTAAAAAGACATCAGCTGCTGGGCAGTTTTGCTCTTTCATAGTTATCCACGCTATTATTCAAAACTCCATAAAATATATGGACTCTCTATCTCTTATCCTCAAATCTTCAGGTCTCCTATGTGCAATAAAAAACTTCTTCTGCAAGAAGAGCTACAAGACTAGTCCCCTTTATGCTGGAAACAATTTATGTATACTAGATCGGGTGGGAAATGGTTATCTAGCTGAGATCTTTGGGGCTTGGTAGCGGAGAAGCAAAGGAGAGGACTGCTAATGCATGTTTCGGTCACAAGCTAAAAAAACCATAACCAAAATAGACAAAATGTGCAAGGAAAGATGCATAGGGAAGAGTCGTGACAGGTGATGGATCATGTAGTGTTCCACTTCTCGCATCCTGTCTTTGACAAACAATTTAAATAGACTGTACACCCATATCATACTGGGGTGTAAGAAAGCAACACAAATCTAAGTGAAAATACAGCAGACTTCACTGTCAAACTCCTTGTTGAAAATAAGTAACTTAAGATTATTGTATTCTACTCCCTGCTATGATGCAAATATATCCAACAGATGTCAAACTGAAGAGAGTAGCATTTTAGCATGTAGAAAAGCATAGTATTGCTCTTTTAATTTCCTGCTCACAGTGATTAGAACCAACAATTGCTGAAACAATTATTAGCATTGAGTATAACGAGCAATAATCTTCTCCATGTTGCTTTAGTAATAAGGTGTGGCCTTGGGGTGGGGTGGGGATTCAGGATCTTGTAACTCATGTTTTAGAAGTACTGCAGAGGTGAGAAAGATTGGATAAGCACAGAACTCATGTTATGAATGTCTGTTAAAGTATATGTTAGAATGGTATTTTCCCAATTTTTCAGCGTTGTCCTTTAGTTGTACTTTTGAGTGGAAAATTCTTCTCAGAAGTTCTTCTCTTCTCTTTAAAAACTCGCACTTCAGTATTCTGAAAACCTTTGCGAGGGGTCGAGGGGTGTTTCCTACAGTGACAGGATTCTGCTCTTTTTCTCAACGCAATTGGCAGATATTCAGAGAAAGCAGTTGCACTAGCTATTTACTCTGACAAGCAAGAGACAAAGGTTCAGATTATGGTGTTTGTTCTTGAATTGAAATGTTTGAAATGCCATGTGTGCACTTCATTCAACTCAAGCACAGAATACGACATTACTTTAAAACAAATTGTAACGGACTTCACACCAAGGTACTTAACTTACCCCTCCCATTGTAATGCCATCAAGAAGTGCCACATACGGCTTCTTGCAAGTGCCTGTAAGAAATGTAAAAAACAAATTCTACAATTCTACTTTTTTTTCAAAAGCGTGGACCTGTGACTAGCTGTGACTAGCTGTATACATGATACATTTCCCCATGTCTTACATGGCTACAGGAAATAAATGGTAAATTAAACAATAAAATATCAACTTACAATGAAGGTACTTCACGGAATTCTTAAGCAATGAAAAGAAACACCAGTTACTGACTTAACTGCACTCGGAGTGTTGCAAAAGAACTTTTTACAACCATGAAATGCCAGGTTGTTTGCTGTGTGAGTAGCTGACAACTTAGCCACATCTGCCTATTATAAACAGCTTTGCAGGACGCTGGGACACACGGTTTCCCTTTCACTCCACCTCACCGCTGGGATTAACAGCACAGAGTGTGTACCAGCACTCCAGTACTTTACTACAAAGCCAGATGCGTTGGTAGGTTTTGGCCACAATGTGACTACGAACTACTGCAATGTGAATGTGTTCTGTCTTGCCAGCTCGGTTGCACGTTACAGCCCTGAATGTGGTGCGGGCAGGTCGAGATGATAGTGTCCTAAAGTACCACAGTTTTATCCATCAACTTTATCCACTGGCACCTTTAGGAGGCATGAAACTAAAGACCTGATGCTTTCAATTACCACGCGTGGAAAGACTCAGAAGTTCACTGCGAATGAAACCGCTGGCTCATATTCAGTGTTTTCAGGTCAGACTTAAAGCTCAGCCAGATTGCCGATACCGGTATCCGCTGCAACCATGTTGCTAGCTTATCTGCAGCAACTATAGATCCTTGTTTAAAAAAAGAACTATTTTCAAAGGCAGTTCCATCTTTCAAATTCGTAGCTAGAAAATATAACAGAATCGCATTTTTAACTTTGTTCTTACATGAACATCTAAGCTAACGCATGGGCTCTAGATGCTAGTCTTTGAACTAAATTTCTGCAGAAGCATGCCTTTCCAATAGCAAATGCTGTGAAAGTAGCTCCCCTGTGTATTCTGAAGTTATAAAATGTAAGATATAAATAAATCTTTTTGGCAGAAAACTTCAAGGAATACAATCATACCAAAGTCACTAAAAAATCTAGGTTTTTTAGTTGTATGGATTATAGTCATACAACACCCCAATCATTGAAAAAAAAACAAAAAACCAAACTTTTAAGTGTTTACCCTCACAATATTTTGAATAGACTAGAACTGATAGTTGGAAGGGACCTACAACAATCATCTAGTCCAACTGCCATGGTAATACTATTTTTTTCCCAAGTACATGATACCTTAAACTGTTTTTCTTGATGAAGGCAAGAAAGGTACATGACAAACAGACTAAACCAGAAACTCTGTCAAAGTAAAAGTAACTTTTCAGAAATTACTCTTATCCTAGTAACTCTGCGCTCTTCTGTCAACCTAAGTTGATATGCAACAGCTTCACCTCTCCTCCTGTAGTAAGTAATACAGGATACAGTGTTTAAAAACTCAAACTATTCAATTAAAGTATGTTTGGAGAAGTTTCTTCTCACCAAAACATTCAACTCCTGACTTTCACCCTACAGATTTAATATCCTTTCCTTATGTCCTCTACCCCAGTAAATTTTACCCTGTGTCTTTGCTGTTTGTTATTTTAAGACAACACACTCCTAGGTTCTTTGCAGTAAACTAAGGCAGCTAACTCCTAGCGTCAGTATTCATTTATGCAGTTTATTTAAATGGAATGCTATAACATAATTTGATCATCTGCTTTCTAACCGCATATTAATGATTTTCTGTGCATCTATTTTTATCTCAGGTCTTTGTTGAAGCAGATCAATGATACTTTGTGCAGAACTGCACTGTCTGCATCTAAGACTTAATTCATCCGTTGGGGAAATATAACTATCCAGAACAATGGGATGGGATAAGGTACCTATCATAATAGCTTTAAAAAAAGAAATAAATTCTACATGCAAGCTACAAAAATGAGATATGTTACACTACTGGTATTGAACTTGGTAAAACAAAAATACTACTACTTCTCTTATCGCAGTCTTTTATGGATAAGCAAAGAGAGAAAGTGAATTTAAATGCAAAGCCACTATTATGAAAACTGTACTGCTGCAGAATTTGCTATTAAACATACCAATGGCATTGTTCAGGGTATATTCTCCTCTGAAGAAATCTTGTACCAGTCTGTCTCCAGCTTTTACTGCATCTCTGATGACTTAAGAGAAATAAAAATTCTAAAGATAACTCTGAGTTTAACAGAAAATATAATAACAAGTAAAATAAATTAATATCATATGATAGCAGTTTTTTTTAATTTCAGCAATCAATATTTGAGAAAATCTGCTCAAACTTAAATATGAATGCAAAGTTTCAAATGTGAGTCAGTTCTATTATGGTGGAGATTTCTTGTGAGAGTGCCGTCCATTTTTTATGCTCTGGAACACCTCTTAGTGTCTGGTAGTCTTGTCTGTGATTTTTCATATCGATATATCGAACAGCCACTTAAAACTGACTACACTGAAGACTCAGAATACTAAAAATGAGAAGCCTATTGGAGCAGGGCATAATTTAACAATAGCCTGTGCTGCTTGTTTCCCTAAGATTTAGAACAACTGCTAATTGTCACACTTTGGAGACTTCCTACAGTTCATAGTTACAAAATAATCACAGATACATTGATCATCACTGTCAGCTCTGTACCTAGCCATCTCCAAGTCAAACATCAGACACAAATTATCCGATAGTAACAGGGCTACCTATTAGGACCCTCCAAATTTCTTGTAAAGAAGCTGTCAGTAATGAGAATCTGGGACGAGAAGGCAGAGACAAGAACCCTCTCTTGCCAGGAATGACTGGCTGCTATTACCAGTTATTAATAAAACTGCCAATTTTTACTCTTCTATACAATGTTGCAACAGCTGTCTCCTGACAAATAACTTAAACAGCATCTGCACATCAAGGTGTCATAAGAAGTCAGCACAACTAATCTCTCTCACTGTTGTGTAGCAAGCCACCATTTACCTGAGTCACACTAAATAAAGGAAATCAACGCAAAGTAGTAAAGTAGTAGCTGGCAAAGGTATGTCAAATGTTTAAGTGACTACTGTCCTTACCTCTGATGTCACCCCCAGCACAGAAAGCTTTTTCTCCAGTTCCCTTAATAATTATTAGAAAAGTTTCAGGATCCTGCTCCCAAGCCTAAAAAGAAGTAAATGTTTCCAAGTAAGGTTAAAGTCTGTGCAAAAAATGCTTTCTCTGTATACTGTCTATAATTCTTCTTTCGCTTTTTCAAAAAGCACATCAAACCATACTCAAAACAGCTTGTCTTAATCTGAAGTTTGAGAGCTAAATGTCTTTCTGCCACTCCTGTGTCCTATTCAACCTGGACATCTGAGATCCGCAGAGCTGCCGTGCGTATTTCAGAAAAACGCCTGTGCAGAGCTCCCAGTCTCTGAAGAAAGGTAGCACTCCCTAAACCAGGGCCCGACATAAATCTCAACAAGAACACAATGCTGGGGCAGAAAGCTGGCAATATGGAGGATATAATAACAAAGCTTCAGGCCAAATCATGAAAGGTGTGTAAATCCAAGATGCATGGCAAGGAAAACAGCATTTAAATTGTTGACGGATTTTATCAAAACGACTGCAATCAATGCTAATCAAGGACTGGATGAAATCAATTTGTGCACAGATGTTTTGCTAGGTACAAAGACTAGTTTGTTTGATTTTTTCTGAATTAAATACACTGGTACAAGACTTCAGCAGTGGTGCTACCACATTGAGAAAAAGATGCTTTTAGAGGCTTTCCCCCCCTCCTTAAACTATGCTTATATATCTCTTATTCAAGTAAATGTACCCAGATGAAAGAGAGACAAGACATTCCATTCCGGTATACCAGCAACTGTACTCAAAATTAAGCTGCCTTTTAAGGTTGTGCTTCAAATAAAGCCCAGTACTCAGCACTACAGACTAAGGATTTCTTTCTTTAAATGTTCTCCAGGGAATGCACAAATTTGCAACACAACCATCTACCAAAATACCAAAAGGCGGGCAACTACCCTGCAAATACTGGTATCTATTAAGTTTGACTTTGTGCATATGATAAATAATATTAAATTAAAAAGGACTATTGGCATGCTTAAAATTTCACATTACCTCACTAGCTTGTAGAAACAATGCCTGTCAATCCATAAAGTTCTTCTTTAAGAAAGACACTGACAGCACCTTGCTTCCTAACGGCTTGTATCTTTTATTTCAGCCACGCAGCCTTCCCACAAAACACGCACCTAATCACGAGGCCACACCACTGCACAGCTTGGAATTCGCGCACGCCGACTGACCAGCTGGGTGTTGCCAAAAGGACGGTATAGACGCTGAATGCTGCTTGCTTTTAATTCAGTTCTGGTTTTAATATGGGTGTCTCTTCATCTATCCAGATGCTAAATTTGTCTGACAGCTTGTTTCTTTGACCTGTCTTCTCCTCTTTCTAACTTGCTTGAAACGTCTGTTCTTTCCCATCCTATAAATTTGAGCTCATTGGCCAATGCACTCACACAGACTTTCATTCTTTAAATCAGTACTCTAAGAAGTGTCAGACTGAATTTTAAAATTGGTTTCAGGTAACTTACGTATACTGGATGAGTAGAAGCGGAGCTACTAACCTTTATTTGTGGATAAATTTGTTGGATCATAGAAAAATTTAGTGCATTGAGAGTCTTGGGTCTATTCAAAGTTATTATTCCTGCACCTCCTCTCTTTTCCAACAACACTTCAGCTGTCGAATCTGTTTGCTTATGCATCTTCTGTGCACGCAAAAACAAAAAAATAAAGCAAATGTCATCACTTAGACACCTTGAGTAACATACCTTGTTACTTTGTAAACATACATACATACTTTGTTACAAAGAGCTGTTTTGTATGTAAACACACAAAGAGTGTTTATGGAAATACAGTCTCAAAACGCACTAGGTAAGATCATAAAACATGCATTTTTGAATTGTACGCCGAGGCTTTCCCACTGTACTTCAAGTTGTATTTGCATTTCATAAGCAGTTCTTTTGAAACCACTTTATGTTTGAGCCCTTCAGAGTAATAAATCTCAGACAAGTTTCTGAGCCACACACTCTTTGACATTTGAGTTTGTTTAAAAAAACCCAAGCCCAGTAAAACACAAGAGCATAGTTCTTTAAGACTGACACTCTGAAAATACCTGCAACAATGATAAAAATGACAGTTCCACGTGTCCCTACTGACAGTTTGACACTGCAAACCCAAATGTACACATTGCTTTGTAGGTAACTTTTAACAGTAGAGAACAAATCACTAATGTATTTTCACAATTGATTTCAAACTCACAGTTGAATGATATTTATGGAATATACGGAAGCCAACATAGACACTGACTGTAAAAGTAGGTAAGGCCAAAATAATTAAGCGTTAATTTACAGTATAATGGAAACTTGAAACAAAGTGCTCAAAGATGTGGGCAACGTTATGCGTGAGCAATAAATGATGGCATTCCGAACCACCGTGAGCAGACACAGTAGAAGTTGCGTGCACTGTCTGTCTCAGTGGAGTTACGAGTCCTAAAAGCTTCCAACTCAGTCACACCAGATGCTGTTCTTACCAAATGTTGTAATATTACTTGCAGTCTGTGGAATGGCTTCAGCCTGAAAAAGAAGTATTAAAAAGACAGCTAAAACCATAACCCAGCTACACAATCCCCAAATAGATGACTGCTGAGCTAAGCAAAGCTGTGTCAGAAAAACTTCTGAGCACAGTTGTTTTACGCTCTCCTCTTCAAGTAAAATCAGAGGACAATTTTGATATCAAAACAGTTGGAAACTTCTTACTAGTAAAGAGATAGCAGATACCAATGCCAGCTACTAATGTTTTTGTTGTGTTCAAGTTGGAAGGAAAGCCTAGAAACTATAAGAGAGTTTGGGGGAAATGTTTGATATTTAGCAGTGTGTGCCTTTTAAAGACTTACAGCCTTTTCCCAGAGTTTTAAACACTAGCATTTAAAAAAAAACGGTCTTGTCGAAAATTGGTGCATTTCCAAAGCTTTCATAACAACAAAACCGCCCTCTGGTCCCAGTGTGTTTGTACTTTTGTGCAGGGTTTATGTCAGCGGCCTGAACAAGGCTCAGGCTTCTGCTGCTGGCAGCAGATATGCACGCGTGTGGCGAATGCGTTACTTAAATTAAGTAATGAGGGTGTTATTTATTAATTGCCACTGCATATTGAGGAAGGCAGTTCACAACGGCTTCAAGACACCCAGCTTGTGCCAACATTAACGACCGACTTCATCTTTCAGCTGCTTCCTACAGCCAATTACCCGTTGAACGCAAACGTCCTGGCGTCCTAACTTAGCTTTTAAGCACATGCTCTTTTCAGAAGGGGAAAATTAATCCCGGCCTGGCTAAACTAGGCCTAAACGATATTTTAGAGCAGCTCGGGAGGGGGGTGTCCCGTCCCACAGGCCTCCCCAGGCGGCCGCTCCCCGCC